CATGGTTCCCAAAGCTGGTGGTAAACATGCCTCTGCCATGAGTCTAGACTCTCAGGGAACCAAGGGGGATGAGCTAGCACCAGCATTCTGTGATCTAAGTTACATAGCAATTTTTTGGTTCATGCACACAGAAAAGGTTACTGATGTGCAGTAAGGACAGATTTTTTAAAAAGAGCTTCTAAACAGGTCACAGTGTGTCTAATATGCATTGGCTTGGGAGAGAGAAAAAAAGAATATATATAGTCCTAGATTTAAATATATAGTTTTAAAATAAAGTAAATTCCTTAAATAATAAGCCACATAAATATGGAACACACACAGAGAGTCTAGATACTGTATGTTATTATGTTGTCTTTAAATTTTTTGTATACTCATCAACAAATGAGAACTGCAAAGAAACATTTGATTATGAAAGCTGCTAGATTAAATCAAACTATATATTTTGAAAATATCTTGACATCAAAATTTAAGTCAAAAGATATGTTACTTTGGGAAAGAGATTCTGATTTTATTCCACAGGAAATGAGAGGCTTTGGATTCATTTGGGGTTAAGAAAAATCAGGTTTGAATGAGGAAGACCACCTGAAAAATCTCCAGTGGGAAAGGATTACCCAACTGATGCAACATTTGAGAGTGCCTCTGTTGCAGTTCCCTCTGAGTTCTGCAACAGAACAACTTCAAGGCTGCTGGCTGAGATGATCCAGCCTCACAGAATACTTCAGTCAGGACTTGACCATAATCCTAAATTTTCTCAGGATCCCCAAAACATTACCAGGACACAAAATCAACCAGAAATAGTCTAAAGAACTACACCCACATTCCCAAAAACACATTATGATTGTCATTATTTGGAGGGTTGGCTACAAGTTGTTCTACATAATGGTCAGAAAACAATGCTAAACAGTGAGATTAGATTCAGGAATCTTGTTTGGAAAAGAGAAAGGAGGATATAGAAATGATAGGGAAAATGGTAGACTATTGAATCTACTTTAATCCAAAAACAAAGTACTAATCTTATGTATTTTACATTGATATGGATTTTGGTTTATTGATACAAATTTAAAGTCAATTTTGTTATAGTGTGTATATTTCTACTCTTGTCTCTGGTATTATGGTTATGCAGCTAATTTTAAAATGTAATATATAGTTAAGAAACACAGATTAATAGTCATCTATAATAACAAACATATAGAGGTGTTAGTTAGGTCTTCTAGGTATACATAGGTATATTTCAGATAGATAGGCAATATTCAAACACTTCAAGGACCTACAGAATACAGCATTTGAAATGTTTTAAGAATATAGACTTTTCTTGACACTAAGGCATGTCTGCTCCTGGCATCACCAACTACTTCAAAGAGAATGATGGGCATCAAAGAAATTCCATATGGAATTGGTTTTCATTATGGCAAAAGCTAGCAACAGAGGTAAAGTAATTGCCCTTGCCTCAATTACTGATGGTTACTTTCTAAACTGGACCAGCAGGATGCAAGAAAGGTAACTGCTGGACTTTGCCAAGATAGTGTAAGACAGTCCTTCAGCCGGGCGGTGGTGGCGCACGCCTTTAATCCCAGCACTCGGGAGGCAGAGCCAGGTGGATCTCTGTGAGTTCGAGGCCAGCCTGGGCTACCAAGTGAGTTCCAGGAAAAGGCGCAAAGCTACACAGAGAAACCCTGTCTCGAAAAACCAAAAAAAAAAAAAAAAAGACAGTCCTTCAATATTCTCTGCTTAACAGGAAAGTCTGTCAGATATGCTTGGCCTGTCGACCAGAGTTGGATGCCCCAGTGTTACAGATGAACTTTGGGTAACTGTCCAGGCAACCTGATGTCCCTGCCATTAGGTAAATTTTCACCCTTCTGGAGTCTTTGAGGGAGCTGAAGATTAAATAGTTATGGTTATAGTTTTCCTTAGTTATAATAGAAAGTAAATTAGATACAAAATTTAGACAAACCAAGATAAGATAGATAATTAAGTATTTTCTCCACTTTTGCAAATATAAATGGATCAGATACTGTTACTGTAACTCTTACATAATAACTGTTTTAGTTGTTCAGAGATTTACTATATTAAGGATAAAACCTTCCATTTAATTAGACAAAATGGAAAAAAAATATCTGTCACAATCCTTTCTACACTATGAATATGTATTACTCAGATTGGTTAATAAAATGTTGACTGTCTGGTAGCTGGGCAGGAAGTTAGGCAGTAAAACCAAATTGAGAATGATGGGAAGAAAGAACAGATTTAGGAGAGATGCCACCCCAGCTGATCAGGAAGAAAGACATGTTAGAGGACATGTAAAGCCATGAGACACCTGACAATACATAGATTAAAAGAAATGGGTAATCTAAAGTAAGGTATCTAAATCTAAAGGTAAGAATGAGCTAGTAACACGCCCGAGCTATCAGCCAAGCATTTATAGTTAACATTTCAGTCTCTGAGTTGGTTATTTGGGATCAGGTGGTTGGGACAGGAAATTTCCAATTACATAGTCCTACCTGCAAGATACGCTAAGGCAATGATGCCACAAAACTCACAAGAGTAACCAACCAATAACAGATTTTACTTAAGGCCTACTCTATGAGATGGAACACATAGCTGACACTGCTTTGGTGACCAGAGACTAGATAGCCTAGGGACGTAGGGTAAAACCAAATAATACTGGTCTGAAAAATTAGTGAAAAATGATTCCAGATGATATTCTGCTATACTCAGATTAGCACTTTGTACAGTCCTCATCAGAGAAATTTTCTCCCAAAGCAGCTGAGAAGAAATATAGAGATCCACAGATGGAGAATACACAGAGATTGAGATACTTTTGAACAATCAGCCCTAAATGGTATGTCCCCACCAAATCTCTCACTTTAGAGCTCAGATAACTCTTCAGAAGGAGAAGAAAGTGTGTTAGAGACAGAGAAAAGGGAGGACACTAAGAAAACATGACCATCCACATCAACATAAGAAAAGCTCATATGAGCCCACAGACTGGAGCAGCATGCATAGTACCACACCAGTCTGCTCCAATCCTCTGCTTATATGTTAGGGTCTAGAGTTTAGTGATTTTGTGGTCTTCTTGGATGTTCAAACATGTAACTCTCTGCTTGTGCCTTCTCTTGTGCTGTTTTCCTTCTGTTGGTTTGTCTTGTCCAACTTTGAGGGAATAATATTATTTCATCAGATTGTACTTTTTGTTGTTATATTTAAAAAAATGAATGCATGAAAATCCAGCCACTAGGGTAAAGGTTAATAAGTGAACTGTCATTTATACCTGCTGGGAAAGGGAAAATCCATTGTCTCCAATGAAATGACACTGGATATATCAACCACTGCAGGAAAGTCTTCATGTGAAGGAGTAGTTGACCAACATGTAATAGAATCCAAGTTTTGTTTTGTTTTTGTTTTTGTTTTGTTTTGTTTTTGTTTTTGTTTTTGTGTGTATGCTTTTATTTGGTTGCAGTTCAGTGGGTTTTTTCTTTTTGGTTATTGTTTTATTTTGTTTTCTTTCAGGGGGAATTTTGTTTTATTTGGATTTTGTTTGTTTTTTTTCAGAAAGAATTTAAGGTTGTGTGGGTAAGGAGAAGGAGAAAACTTGGAAGAAATTGTGGGAGAGAAAGAATATGATCAAAATATTTTTAAATTTAAAAATTGTTTTAAGTAATAAAATTTTCATAAGAGAAATAAAAATGAAAACAAAAAAGTTACAGCTATCAGTAACCATCATCACCAGAGTCTACTTCTGAAAGGTACAGAGTGGCTGTAAGACTGCTTCTTTTCAGCCTTAACTAAATTTTTGAACTATTCTAAGGATGGGCAAGTGTTTTCTCTGGTAGACTGCACAATTCTTTTCTTGTTCAGAAAAAAAGTACAATTGATACTTTTACCTGTGATATATAAATGATGATTACTTTCACTGATAGCTTCCAAACTACTTAAACATTTGAGTTGGTGATCAAATGTGAATATTTTTGTGCTTATATGCTTGGTGTCATTATTATGTGTCCATCAGTAGAGGGAGAAATTTTTAGCTAAATAAAAATAAAATATACAAATGAACTTAAAATTATTTTTAATTAATGATCTTTGGAATCAATGTCTCTTTTGGCCAAGGTTGACCTCAAACCCACAATACAAACAAGGATAACCTAGAACCCCTGATTCCCCTGATTCTCTCTCTCTCTCTCTCTCTCTCTCTCTCTCTCTCTCTCTCTCTCTCTCTCTCTCAGTGCTAGTTTTAGTCCTGTGATGACTTGCCAAGATGTATTTTTTTAATTTTTAAAATAAGAGATATTTTAGACACATACACAGTACTTCAACGTGTTGTTGTCTGTGGGGCATTTCAATGAAATGAAACCTGCAATGATCTGCTAAGGATATGGCCTAAGAGTTTATTTAGACATATGTCATTACTGAATGTTGAAATATTTCAGATATTCTCTACTAAGAGTTTTAAAATCTCCAGTATATTCTAGCCCACATGGAGAAACCTCTGTACTGCAGAACACAGAACACAATCATCCCTGACTGGCTGCATCCTGTACATGCCTAGTCAGTTGTATCACTCATGCTTTTCATATGACTTCAGCACTTGTGCTTTCCCAGGATTCACAGATGGATTTCCTACCTTTGTCTCTCTTCTTGCCTTCAAGGGGGGATGACATATATTTGGAAACAACAGTGGAATGGCACTGCTTTATCCATTCCCCACTGACCACTGGGTTATTAGGTGTATGGAATGTGTTGCATAGACAGGATTAAAAACCCTATATCGCAAGTGTGAGCTACCCCACCCTACCCCAGGGTGGAGTAGGGTAAAGAAGTTGTGGATGATGGACAAGGAGACTGCAGAGAAAATGTCAGATGCAGCTCAATACAGGACATAGGGCATAATCTCACTTTTACTGACTCTTCATTGACCTAACACTAACATGGGGATACGGAAGAATATGAGGTGCTGCATGGGGAAAGTTTGTGAGAGACTTTGTGATTGCTGTAACAGTTACCTTTTTCATGTCTTCATAGCTCAGTAGCAGGAAGTTGTCCTTTTCTCTCATGGATAGCCAGCCACGGGTGTGCTCAAACCATGATCCAAATATCACTGTGTTAAGGGAAGAGGAAAGCACTGATTATAAAGAAAGAAAGTGAGGTCTTCCTGATAATTTCTGGAAATGGCAGACAGCTTTACTAAGAAAAATCAAACCAGTATTTATAGTATACAATGTGACATTTAACACATACACACAGATAATGAGCTGATTAAATCAAGTTCATTAGTAAACTCATCATCTCACAGATTTACCCCTGATGCCTCATGGAAACATCCTCCTCTTGGGCTTTACTGATGGAGTCAGGTTTGGGGGAAAAGCAATCATACCAATACAGTAAGCCAGAGTGGTCTTGGCATGGCCAAGGTGGACTTTATATTACTATCATGTCTAAAGACCTATCTTAATCCTTTCTAAGGGAGATCTCCTCACCCTGCCATCTACTTCTAAGCTTCTACCAATTCTCAATAGTGATTCTTCAATACCCTAGCCTCCTAAACGCAGACTACTAGAGACCTTCCAGGCATAGAATTATACCTTCACCCCTGTGGGATGACTCATTCCTAATAAGCTTGAGAGCCAGCTGGCCCAAATCAGTTAAAAAAAAGATACTTTCTGAGAACCAACCTGAGTCTGGCTAAGGGCCTTAGCAACAGCAGCTGAGACATGATCTGGAGATGATCTGGACCAATGAGAGGCAACCATGTCACACCAGTAGATGCATATTCTTAAGACCTTCTCCCAGGGTGGGGTGGAGGGTTATGTAAGACGTGCCTCTTCCAGAATAAACCAGGCTTGTTTCAACGTTCTCCCAGAGTCTGTGTCATTGACTCTGTGTCTACTTGGCTCCTCCCCCAAAGGGAAAAACTGCACAGGACCCTGATACACACCCCAAAGCTTCATTTACATTCCTAGGGCTATTGTGATGTTTTCTCAAGAGTCACAGTGTCTTCACTATTCCTGGTTTAGGCCTCTCTATATATTTCTCAGCTTCCTTTACACATTTGCATTGTTCACCATTATCTGACAAATTAACTAAATCAAGTCAGGACTAAAGTTAAGAATTAAACAAGGGTCAGAGCAGTAGGATTCATGAATTCAAGGAATCTAAAATTTGATTGAAAGCTGGGGGTAAATGATCTACAGAGAAGTAGTAGGGAGAAATAAACTGCACAATACATGACAGAATTAAGCCACTTAACGAGATTGAAATCTGGGCTCAGGTGATGGCTCAGTGGAAAGCATTTGCTGTGCATGTGTGAGGGCTTGAGTTTGAATCCTCAGGAACCATTCAAAGATGGTGATTCAGTCTCTTTTTATTACCCTAGTGCTCCTTTTATGACATGTGAGCTGGAGAAAGAAGAATGTCGAGAAGCTTGGGCTGGCACACACAGTGCTGAACAAGAAGAAAGAAACTCTGCCTCAAACAAGGTAGAAATTAAGGTTCAACACCTGATGTTGTTGTTTGTTTTCCCCACTCAAGCTTTGGCACAAGAACAGCCACATTCTCACATTTGTAACCACACCATTGTAAACACACGTACCTATTCACATTCAAAGAAAAGCTAAAAGTCAAGCCAAATGTGGCATACATGTGCAATAGTAAAGCTTGGGAGGTAGAGAGACAAGAGAAGACCAGAGATTCAATGTCATTTTCAAGTACATAGAGAATTTGTGGCCAATCTGGGATATAACAGATCCTGTCTGAAAACAAACAAAAAGCCAAAAGCATTTTAGGGAGAGCACCAAAAATAAGCTAATGACATATATGTAGCTGATAATGAACAGTGGTTCTGCCTTGGAAGTCATTTTAAAAGATAAGTGTTTATTTGGAAGCAGGTATTAAAGAATATCTCAACAAGGCTGCCTCCATCTTGGTATGTAGACAAGGGTGTTCTTGAACTGTTGATTCACTTGAATCCATCCCATGAATGTTGTGATTGCAGGCGTGCACCATACTAATCAGCCTGGATATTTATATTTTGTTACATTTTAATTGATGTGTATCAAGTGATGAGACCTAGTGGCTATATCCAAGGACAAACAACCACAAGATCTGAGTGTTTGTGGGGAGTAATGTTCAATTATCAGGCAAGTAAATACCTATATCTTGGTCCTATAAAAACAAAAAGATTCAAAGACAGAGATGAGAAGAATGGCATTTTGTATCACATTGAGAAGAATGATTCTCATCAATACAACAAGCAGTTTAGTGAAACCAAATGAATGAATCAAGGTTGTATGGCATCATTAATAATAACAATTAAAAGAATGAAAGGAATAAGTCATCAAGGAGAGAGAGAGAGGTGGGGAAAGGGTAGAGGGAGTGGGAAAGGGAGAAAGAGACAGAGAGGGGAGAAAGAGAGAGAGAGAGAGAGTGTGTGTGTTACACATGAGCGTTCAGAGAATGTGCAAGCCCTAGAAACTTGTAGTTAAAGAAATAAATTTTGAAAGATTTATCTTAATTTTTTCTTTTTGTATACATTTGTGTGTTTTCATATGAATGTGAGTCTGTGTGTTTGTGTGTCTGCAAAGATGAGAAGAGTGCCAGTTTCCCCTGAGGCTAGAGCTATGGAAAATTGTGAGCCACTTGATGTGTGTACTGGGAAACAAACTCCCCTCCCCTAAAAAGCACCAAGTTCTTTTGAGCACCAAAGCATCTCTTCAGCCCCTAATGACATAATTTTGAAAAGTAAGTTATGAAAACAACTTTATTGCACAAGGAAGAGTAGAAATTAGCACAAGTGATCTACACAACTAATAAATAGTAAATGAAGCAAATAGAGATACAAAAGGGAATGGTGGCATTGTGAAATAATAATGGATAAACCAAGTGCTTATCATATAAACCCGATGACCAAACTGTCTCTGTAACCTACATAAATCAGAAGTACAACTGACTCCACAAAGTTGTTCTCAGGGTCTCACAAATGTTCTGTGAGATGTGTGTGCCCAAACAGACACTCATGCACACATACTCACAAGATCACAATAAACAGAATATTTTTAAAGAAAAAAATCACAGTGTGAAGGTAAGGTGGAGGACTTGGGAAAATCTAATAAGAACAAAGATAATATAATAAGAAGATAGGGCCGGGCGGTGGTGGCGCACGCCTTTAATCCCAGCACTCGGGAGGCAGAGGCAGGTGGATCTCTGTGAGTTCGAGGCCAGCCTGGGCTACCAAGTGAGTCCCAGGAAAGGCGCAAAGCTGCACAGAGAAACCCTGTCTCGAAAAACAAAACAAAACAAAAAAAAAAAAAAAAGAAGATAGGAGTTGTAATTCCAAGATATATTAGGACACAAAGAACGTCTGAGCAAATATAGGAAACTGAAATATTTCTTTATATTCTGTCCAACACCAATAAAATGACTATAAATAAACAAGAAAAACTCTAGAAGTAAACAAACTCACGGAGATTAAACAATTTACAACATAGTCATGAATGGTTTCTTAAAGAATCCAAGAGTAGAAAGACTCCTTCAATAAAATGAAAATTAAACACAACATTCTTTAATCTGTGAGATGCGATGTAAACAGTCCTAACAGAGATGTTTAAAGGTCAGTGTTCCTCTATTAAGAAATCAAAGGAAATTCTAATAATTTAGTTAATGGTTCACCTTAGGGCTGTAGAAAAGGAACAAGTCAAACACCAAAATCATTAGCTGGAAAGAAAACACTGACAGTAATGAAATCAGTGAAACAAAAAACAGCTCAACCACACAACAAACCACAGAGTCAATGAAACAGATTTGGTTCTTTCACGTATTGACCAACTTTAGATAAACTAACCAAAAAGAAGAATGAATTCCAAACCTAATAAAGTAAGACATGAAATGAAGTCGTTAGAACAATCTCCAGTGAAATTCAGAAAATTATTAGGGTTTACCTTAAGAGCATTCCACTAAACTGGAAAATCTAAAACATATGGATGAATATCTGCATAGATTAAAAACTACCAAAATTAAACTAAGATGACATTTTGAACAAATAGACAAGTAGGGATGGAGAGAAGGCTGAGCAGTTAAAAGCATTCACTGTTCTTTTAGAGAACCAGGACTCAATTTCTACTACCCACAATGCAATCTTCCTGCCCCTCTGGGCCCCAGACACATATTCAACAAACACATACATGCAAGAAAAATACTTCTATAAATAAAATAAAATGAACCTTAAAAGTAATCAGAACTGGACCTACCCCTTGCCTGCCACCTCTGGGGCAGGAGAAGGCAGAGCAAAGAGCAGTGCTGAATAACTCAGCAACCACAGACACCCAGACCTAGGGCTTTGAGTTGGTTCACCCCAACATTTATTGTATCTCTGATCTGGTAGAGAAGGTGGGAAGGGCCAGTCCTGCAGAAGCATAGCCACAGGATCTCCATGACTCTGAGCAACAGTAGGATATCTGAGAGGAGTCTAGAGGAGTCAGTATTGATGGTGTAGCAGAAGCCAGAGGCCCTGAACCAGACCAACAGCTCATTGCAATGAACATTTGCAAGTAAAGCTGTCTGGGCAAAAGGGTATACTGCATGACACACCTCAGCTCCCAATGCGATTATGATGAATAAATATGTGATGCAGAGGTGGAAAAGATGGAGTAGCAAAGTGGTACAAGTAGGTTGGAATAGGAGACAGAACATGTTTGACTGGTGTGAGAAAAGACTGCCATTGATAGAGGAGCATGTCATTGCCCAGAGGGTCTGCAAGATGGTTTGATTGTTTTTTCCTTTTCTTTTTAAAATAAATGTATTTGTGTACTTATTTTACTTTACAGCCATAGTTTTCCCTTGTGTCCTCTCCTCCCAGTATCTCCCCCAGGAGAACCCCCCTCTCTTACCCCCTCCCAAATTCCTCCTCCTCCATTTCTGTTTAAGAAATGGCAGGTCTCTTATGAGTATCAACATGGCATATGAAGTCACAATAAGACCAAGTACTTCCCCATGAATTAAAGCTGGGCAAGGTGACCCAGCATGTGAAGTAGGGTCTCAACACCAGTAAAAGAATTGGAGATAGCCCCTGTTCTCACTGTTTGAAGTCCTACAAGAGCACCAATC